GGTGAAAGCAATTCCACCCAACCAACATCGTTAAGTTCCATATTAATGACGTCCTAGTTCGCCTTATGAAATAAATAACTCTTTTAATGAATTGATTGAATGAAATTTACTTGATTTATTAAGTGTATTCCTGAATTTAGAAGATCGACGCTCCTATTTTTAAATGTGTCGGACCCGATGGATTCCACGCTATATTAAACAAATTAAAATCGCCAGCAAATATAAACAAATCATTAGTGAACTTATAAGCGACGTCAGTAATCAAATGTACGCTGTTGTCTAAACGAGAGGGTAACAAGTGTCCCGGCGCCATGTAAGCCAATGCTATATGCCTTGTTTTAAGCCTATTGTTCGGCCGTACACGGTGACCCATGCGGCGGAGTATCTCATATATGTTATCTGATAGTTCGGAATCTAAAACATTATCGTTTAGCTCTCTGTTTATTAACATCGACATTATTCTATTAAATAATGTCATGGTCCACGTTAAGCATTGTAAAATTCTAATGTTTTAGTTCGAAGACCACGAACAATTTGATGGAAAATATTTGGTTTATAGCCGATATCTTTATGAAATCTGTGCCTTTAAACAATAATGATACGTTTGGGAATAAATTGTTATGGTTTATGTTTACATCTGGCTTAAATACGACAATGTTAATGTAAGATATGCGAGTTTCATTTTTAAATGAGCTAAAATAAAACAGCGGCATTATGTTTAAGAAAAAGAAAAAATAATATAATTGGGTTGTGTTTATGTGTAGTGTAAATTAATATGTGTATGTATCATTACGATGTAAGTATGAATCGTGTAACAAAAAATGAAGTTAAACTATAGCAATTTGACCAAGCGCTCCCATTACTATTACTATGACAACTTATTAGGGCAGAATACTTAATGAAATTATCTTTTTTAGATCTTCTTCGCAGGATATTAGAATATATGGTGAATTTTCGGCTTTTCTTGTGTAAATCCGGCAGTTTTTTGTCCACACGAATTTATAATTACAGTCTTTAGCTTTCGCTTTACAACTATTTAATAACTGCTTATTTTTTACAGTTAAATGTTCATTAATGTAAACAGTTTTCAGCTCACCTTTCATTCCAATATACCTCGAAGTGATACCACCACATTTACGAACAGTTGACAATACTGCGTCCTTTTTGATACGATTTTGGAAGCGACTATTATATTACGCGACTTTCCCTTAACTAGTCTCTAGCCTGAACACGATGAAAGAAATCCAACTCCTGAGGGGCAAGTGGCACGCCTAAATGTTTAGCGATATTTTCCAGGATCTTCGGCAGATTCTCGTCGCTCACCTCTGGCACACCTACTATTTCAACATTATGAAATCTAGACCACTATCCTTGCTTTAGGGATCCCTCCACCATACTATTTACCTTAGCTTGGGGAATTTTCATTTGATTGCTGAGATTATTATTGTCTGTCTAAAGCTTTTTAATTGTGCCTGTAGTTTTATCCATTGAGTCCTTAATAGTGTCGTACAAATCACTGCATAGCTTTACTGATATTTCAAGCTCAAGAAATTTATTCTCTAGGACGTTCGAGACTGAGATTTGCTAAGAAATTAGGCAGTTTGCGGTTAAATACCATTTCTATTTCTGTTTTTATGGTCTCAAGAATGTCATCTGATTTTATTTCATCACAGCTGCTGCTACATTTGGTCCATGCTGACATTTGTGTTCCTTTCTTAGTATTAATAAATTATCATCTTTGCTATAATGGACGAAACTTGAACAATTTAAAATTTAATTTTTTAACAAATTAAAAATGTAATTACTTTTATTTTTATTTTATTTTATAGATAAGGTACAACAACAGTAGTACTATACTCTTAGATAACAGCGTAACTTTACATTAGGATTGTATTTAATGTCTACCTATTACAGATGTACACAGCATATAATGAAATACCATGAAATGTGATTCCGTTTGTTTTAATTAGATGTTTTGTTATTCTTTCCCACACCAGCGAATGGAACAGCCCTCCATAGTTAGAGATATTATCTTTATTACAAATACAGAATATTTTTGGTATATACGCAGACGTACACACAGGTAAGTTGTTGGCGCTTGTCTATTTCAGCTTTCTAATTTTTGATTTCAATGCAAACGAGAGTTGATATTTACAAGTGATATAAGGCCCATTTTCCTGACGACATGCCAGGGATGATTCATCCCTTATTTATTATTTATGGCCCTTATTTCGTCTCTATTTCTGGTTTATACTCGATGTATATTGGTTATTAAATAGTTTTGAGGTTATTCGGGAAATTCGTGACATATTATCAAAATGAGAAGCAAACTCAATAAGTATGTACATAGGAATATCTTTGCGAAGTGCTACACCGACGAAATTAAATCCGTTATATTGTGAATAACTGAATATTCGAGCGAAATGGAATGACCCAGTTCCGAATGGAATTCAATAATCTTAAAATAGATTATTCGGCTTGGTATTTCAGTGTAGGTGGGGTGGTATTTTAATACCACATTGATTGTAATTTTAGTACAAAGATCGAAACATTTTGATAATATTCCTTCGACCCAGTGTTTTCTAGCAAACTGTGCTAGACGCTATGCCAACTAAGCCACGCAACGAACCAGCGGACCTTACGAATTTTTCTATGTGCTTGTTGCAGATATTTGTTTTGGTTTTTCACGCCTTCTTTGCCGTAGCGCGGTCAGTGACAAATCTATTTCTTCACTCAGCCAAATGTTTAGTGCGTTCTAAGTGTTTTGATCTTTGTATTATAATTATAACAAACTAGTGAAGTAATTTCACAAAAAAATAATTGAATATACTTGTACCTTGTAGTGAAACATCTTGACCATATTCATTAATTTCATATTAAATCTGATATTAGAGTCTGATTGATATCTGATTGTATTAATAGCGCTATATTCATTTTTTATTAAGAGTTTTGGCTTGGATACCAGCCCTTGAGCCATGTCTTCGTTTAATTATCGGGATCCTTATTAAATATTTTCTGTTGTGGTTCTACAACACTATGTTTTCACCTTCTCTTAAATAACTTAGTTCGCTTGTTTGGACTTTCTAAATAGTCTTTTAAGTGGCGGAAGTCAGTATTTATGTTTTCACTTTCACTTATACAATAATGTGATATCATGTTATTGTCACTTTGAACAAAAACTTTGCACTCTTAATTATTGGAATTTTCAGGATAAACTTTTTTGTAATTTGGATTGACCCACGCACGTTACACGTGTGCTGTTACATACATATTAATGTATGTGACTCGCGAGTGTACAACGTAATGTACGTATGCAGCTCGCGAGCCTTTCTCAAACAAGCGTATCTGCGGCGTATTTACCGATCTGTACGCACCCTTAGGGCATTAACATTACAATTGAATATATCAACTACTAGATAGTGATTGCTCAGCACACTGTTCAAACTGTCACTAACTCTACAGAGAAAACTATTTGGTCTTTTTTTATAATATTAAGAGACGACACGAACAAGTCGTGCGCCTGATGGTAAGCTACACGCCTGTCCTTAACAGTTACAGTGCCACTCAGAGCTTTAAATTGCAAAGATCTGAGGACCACTGCGTCCGTCACCCTGAGACATAAGTTGACAAGTCCCATTCCCATTGTCTATTTCACTTGTCGGTTTTTAGGTACACGTTCCATAGTCTTGCAGAGTATGGAAGTGACTGAGATAGGTCTATAGGTAATAGGGTCAGCTCTGCTTCCTTTTTTAGACATTGGTTGCACATTTGCAATCTTCCACGACCTGGGAACTCCACCAGTCTCAAGAGAGAGGCGATACAGGCGTGTGAGAATAGGAGACAACTTAGGCGCACAGTTACACAGGACTATAATTATAATTCCATCTGGCCTGCTAGCTTTATGCACGTCTAGACTTCGCAGAGTTCTGAGTGCCTCTTTTTGGCGTAAGCGAACTGGCGCCACAGTGCATCCAGTCTGAAGTAAAGAAGGTGGTAGGTATCCTGCGGCATCCAGACGCGAACTCTCTGCAAAGAGTGAGGCGAAGAGATTCGCCTTCTCTTCCACAGTATGGGCCAGCGAGCCATTTGGCCTTAGCAGAGATGGTAATGAGTGGCTATTAAAGTTTTTTTCGACCGCTTTGGCCAGGGACCAAAAGGACGTGCTGCCTGCTGGAAAAGAGGCAAGCTTGGCCCCTATTCGGCGCACATAGTCGAACTTGGCCCTGCGTAACACACTTTTGGTCTTCTTGGCGGCTTTATTAAAGGCTTTCTTCAGATTCCGAGTATTAGGAGCTTTGCGTAGTCAAGCATCTGCCAAAGCTTGGTACGCAGACTGTTTTTGTGCTTCAGCACGACTACAGTCAGCGCTAAACCATGGACGAGCTTGGGGTCCATTGGGTATTTATTAATGTATTGAGACAATTAAACGACGTATCATTATTATTGTAAGTATACAACTAAAAATTAAAGCACCTTACATATACTATGCGGTTAATAACTGCTATAGGAAGAAACAAACAGGACTAAGCTGAGACACCAGAGAAATCGATAGAGTTATCTAACCCAGAATTTTCTATCCTAAGAAGACTGCTATCATGTGCATGGTGGTGCGCAGATTCTTCGACTATAAAATCAAACTTGACTAACACTTTTTTTATTAAGAGCGACCGTGTCCGCAGTGTGAGTTGATCTCCCATAAGTTGGAACATAAGAACGAAGACAAAAGCAACTCTTCTAAAAATGATGTCACGCGAGTTGTTTCTACAAGAACCAGCATGTCCATCGCGCAGAGTAATGCAATATTAGCACTGTAGTCGAAAAAAATGGCAATATATCTGAACTCTAACGGGTTTTGACTTTTTGTTGCCAAATCCGCTGAAAGAAGTAGATAAGAGGATGACTAACGGATTACTTACGAACTGATTACTTGTCTGCTATCATGCAAGTGTCCTGCTGCTAAGTCAGATAAGGTAATTTAATTATATGATAACGTTTCTTACCCAGGCATGGTAGGCCGCCACAAGCACACAAAGAAGTACGAGCCACTTCATGGCTACTCGCGTCTTGTGACCCATTTTTTCACTCGCCCCCTTTTATATGTCATATCTAGATTACTAAGTCAATTGAAATGCGTGACATTTAATCTAATATAGCAATCTTACTTATACGATAACGGTGTATCGTTTGTGTGTTTGATTTCAGGAGGCAATAACAAGATACTGATCAAATTTGACGAGCCTAAAAAAAGGGATGGAAAGCGAAGCAATTGTCAGAAGAGTAAGGTGTTTGTGGGTGTTGTTTTTCCTAACTAGTGTAATTTTTCTGGAATCCTCATGGGATGAGGATAACGTTGACGATGTAGCATGCACACCTAAATAATGCCTATTCACTGGCGCCTTGAAAAGGTCCAAGTTATAGCGTTCGGGGAACATGTCCGCAGGCAGGGAATTCCACTCCCTAGCCGCTCGCCATATAAATATGGAAGCGAAACGCTTCTTGCGAATTCTGGGAATATCTACAACATAGGGGTGGAACCCCAGTCCACGACTAGTCCCTGGAGGGAAAGGCGGAATCAAATTATGCAATTCCATCGCACACTCTCCGTGATATATCCTGTAGAATACCGATAAGCAGGCAAATCTACGGCGGTGTTCAAGGCTCTGCAGCTTTGCCTCTACTAATTCCGAGTTACCTATAAGCTTCTTGACACGCTTGTCTATTGAATCCAAGAATAAGTCTATTGAATCAAAGAAACATTGATTCCCACGGAGAGGGGAACATAGCGATTGAAGAATGCAGTGGGGAACATAGCGATTTTATGAAGAAAAGAAGAGAAGTAACATACTTGGCGAGCATCTACCATCCAAGCAGAATGTCCAAAGTATTCGATAAGGTATCTTTTCTAAATTAATGTCTATTGTGTACATTTTATTTACAGTGAAAGAAAATTATATAAACCTGTGCTTCAAAACAGGTTTGTCAAAGTATTAAAAATTTCCATCCCACATCGGGATTGTTGTTGAGTTTAGTTAAGTCCCATCTCGGAGATCTGTTGTGAGCTAAGGACGCAAGACTGATGTGCGACGTCGCAGGCGCAGGCTAGTCGTATTAATAAATCACTTTATGCTTAACGCTTCTTTAAGATAAGAAAATTGATTGAATTTTCTTTTATTGTTTTTGAGAATAAATATTACTTGTATATAGGTATATTTACGCCATACTTACCCCTGTATTATTGTATGTATAAGAAAGAGCCTTTAGTTTTATTTACAATTAACGGTGTAAAATAAATATGTACGTTCCAAAAATAAACAAGTATTATATTTAATAAAACAGATATTTTGCTAGACAGAGAATTGATATGTAAATTCACTTTAAAAGAGAAATTTAAAAGTGATACTTCTTGAAAGAAAGTAAATTTAGTTAAAGTCTACATTGGTTTTGATAAATGTATTAGGTATAGGTACTATAGTTTTGTGATTATGAGTGTAACCTCGCCAACAAACTACTTTTACGCAGTTCGGCGAGAATTTGTAATGCATTTGCTTGTATGCCTTTTGTATGAAATAAATGAGAAAAACAAGATCAAATATACTATTTAGATAACTTTAACAAGTTTGTTACAATTATTAATACAAAGATCGAACACTCAGAAAAAATTCCTTCGATCCGGTCGGATTCGAAACGACGTCTTCTTGCATACCGTGGCAGACGCTATACCAACTAAGCCACGGAACGAACCAACGGACCTCACGAATTTTTCTATGTGCTTGCGTCGTGTCTTTGTACTTGGTCTTTCAACGACTTTTTAGTCGTAGCGCCATCTATGAGAAATCTATTACAACTTAAACTAGTGGAGTAATTTCACAAAAAGTAATTGAATATCAATTCAATAAAAATTTAATTAACTTTAACAATTTCTACATTCCAGAAGTGGCAAGTTCTCCTTGTGCACAAAGTTGGTAGCCAGCAGGAGCTACGCTTTTTTCGTAATGTGTGTACTGTACTGATACACAGTGTTTTTTTTAATGGGACAGTACGGGGAAATCCAAAACCACAGAAGAAACAAGGAAACTGTCTTAGGAATCATTAAGTCTTTTTTTATGAAAACAATTTTGGCATAGTCAGTTTTTTGGTCAAGCGTGAAATGTTCATAAAAATGAATAAAATTGACCAAAATTTTGTTTTAGTGCCGATTGAGTCGGTTTCATAAAGGGATCATTTCTTTGTATGAGACGAAAAAGTCAGTACAGCAGAAGTTGGTCAAATTTCATTCAAGGCCATAGGTAACAAATAAAAAGCTGTATCTTTGAAAATAAATTATTATACTGACAAATTTTCATGGAAAACATTAATATTGAGTACGCCCTACGACAGGACGCCACAATAGCTACCATTATTAAGTAAGGATCTTGTTTTGATACTTCCACTAAGTAATAGAGCCTTGTGCCATCGTACACTGGAATGTGCTTACAAAGGGATAAAATAAAACTTAAATGACTCTATCTACTTTAAAAAATGTGTTTAATATTTTTAATAATATCCATGATACCACTCTAACGTATACAGAACAACTTCCACAACAGCAGAGATAATAAGAGCTATGAAGGCTCCCGTTCTGGTGTAACTTTTTAACATCTGTGCTGTGCTGGCGGGAATTTCTGGAAGGTCCAATCCACGACGGGTACGTTGCGGTATCGGTAGTACAACTTTCCATGGTGCATCCTGAAAATAGTAGTAAGATTTAGAAGTATTTAACTCTGCAGCGCTTTAAAACAGTACCATTTCTATACAATAGTTAATTGCCGCGAGTGATTTAAAAATAGAATCCTAGAGCGTAGCGAGGATTTCAAGGTACGAGACGGAAAACAACTTTGCTGCCGAACGAAACACAAAATTTTTCACCTCACTATTGTAAGGAAACTGGTAGATGAAAGAAAAATAGATGAACTCTAACAAATCAATTTTAATAAACAAAATTTGTTATTACTAATTTAATGTCAACTATAATAAGAATAAAATTTACCAACGGATTTATATTACATAAATAATATACGACAAATCGCGTAGTTGAAGTAATTATATTTATTTTTTGTTCGAAAGAAAAAGTTAGATGCGTCGCAGTCCATCGTCAAGTTAGAATTTCAAAAAGCTTTTTGACGCTAGCGTGGAAAAAACGCTTTTGCGCGCGGATTTCTAATGAGAAAAAAAGCTTTTCCGAGCTAGTGAGGTGAAAAATATATTATTACAATACGGACTTAAATTTGTGACACGTACTATATATTTTAAATCCCATTCGAAGTAGATGTCCCATATTTCTATATTCTATCGGCGTCCACCTGTCGTGTCGTTTTCAATAATGCATTTTAGGGCGAGGTGACACTAGTAGATTTCTGAGTGTAGTGTAACAAATATTACTTTGTTGGTTTAGTACCATAAAAATCTGCTAGATGGCACTGAACTATTTTACGCCATTTCTGCATCGCGGTGTTAAGATTTTTCCTGGAATGGCTACTAAATCGACCGCATTTCGATTATGTGAAATAAACATCTGTACTACAGATTGGCATTTAGGAGTCAAAAGCTGGCGGGAACGACTGCCCGGACCTATTTGATACTTGATTATATGTATAACTTTCGTCTCAATAACTTAATAACTTTCTGTATTGTAAGTACGCACCACTACTAATTTTCATACAATATTTAGAAGCGCAGTTGCAGCTCCACTTTTGCAGTCACAATTCGTGAGCTAAAAATTACTGAAGAAAAGTATGTTACAGACGCGTCACTGCAGCACTTCTTCTTTCTTCTATATATTCTATAAGTGTTTAATTTAAACCGACCGACTTCAAAGAAACTATCAAGTTGTCAATTCGACTGTATTTTTTTTGCATGTATGTCACGCGATAATTCCGGAATTCGTAAACCGATTTTGATGATTCTTTTTTTGTTGGAAAGAGAGTACCTCAGATGTGGTCCCATTTAAATTTAAAGAAAATATTTTAAATCTAAGGATGGCAAACTTGTGGATGAATTAGGTTTCGCGCACTTTCCGGTAACCAATTTCAATAAAACTTGGCAATAGATGTAATTCCACGAATTTTTGAGATTGGTTTTTGAGTACTCTATACTGAGATTACTTTATTTAGTAATGCCTTTAAATGTACATGCTCATCTATTCTACAAATGATATGAAATTTAACTGGAATTGTAAGGAAACGCGACTGTTACACCCTTTTATCAGCGTAACCGTCTGATTGCTTGGCGATTGGCATATTATAAGACAAACATGTATCCCCCTATTGGAGTCTAGTATCCGATCCTAGATATCGACGTTAGAAAATAATCGCGTTTTTGATCCTATTTACTATTTTGCTATCATTTCTGTACAAGCGTTCTTGCACTGGACTATATGCCCATCGTTTAGTAGACACCCGAGTTACATTACAACTCCCGTCCGTTATTACGTCCATGACGACCTAGTTATTTGACTCCCGGTAAGACCACTTTGGCGCAATGACCTTTTACAAATGGTTCTGGTCTGGGAGTTCTGGATAGTGCCCCGGAGTAAAACTCGTTGCTCTGATATTCATAATACAAGGAATTCCTTACTTTGAGACCAGGCATTTGTTGTGATTACTTGGAACACATTATTATTGACAAGATTTTTTAACTTTTCATTATTCTAAACATAGTAAGTATTTTGTGGATGATTTAAGTAGACTAACTCTATTGAGATAGGTCTCATGTCTATATTTTATGAAGATTGTTGTGGACCAGGCTACTGTTGAGGTTGTTTATTAAAGTCATATCATCCAATGGTTACTTAGCAGTAAAAACTAGTGGCACTACACCTTTATATGTAAAGAGATACATGTCATTTTCTGTACTTGAAATTACTTAGTTCTCGGAAACAAATTTTTACAATATCGCGGCGAGAAAAAAGATGGCTATTATCTTACTTTACTATTTGGTCGTGACGTAGCTGGTTGAGGGGAGAGGGTAGTCTTGGGGAAATAGTAAACAGGGGCCCACCCCACCACTACTGCGTTCTGCAAAAGAACGGCCGACGTTAGTAAAAATGTTTTTGTAGCAAGTTTCAGTTTTGTCATTTTAGATCTGTGGCCTTAGTCCGTATGGTAAACAGGATTTTGTGGGACTTTCGCTTTCAATCGCACATAGAAAACTTGCGTGTTTGGTAAACATCAAATCGGTTACTTATGGTTTATATCCAATCGACCCCCGCTGGCTTTGTACACTTGGTCTAAAAGTTGAGCAACACAAAATTCAGGCTATTTTTATCTGCAAATTTGAACGCAATGTAAATGCCTAAAATGGCAATGTTACATGTGTTTACGTGTGGTCTAATACCAGGTGGACTAAATGGATTAAAAATCCCAAAACTAAACTTTAATATCAACAGCTTTTTTAATAAAATCTTTTTTTTTTTGGATATTATAGAAAGAGCATTCAATTTCGAAGAAGTGAGTGACTCCATACACAATGCGTGTCGTTCGCTAAAAACAAATATATGAAAAAGAGACCAAGTTCAGAACTTTTCGTCAATTTCAATTAAAATTCCTTGAAACTTGTTTGCATAAGTACGTACGTAATAACAGGGACAATGTGCTAATCTGCGATACTGCACAGTCAACAGTAGATCAAGCTAACGCTTCATACATAACAGATCATATTTTCCAAAAGTGGTCCCAGTGAACGCCAGGAGGTATAATAATTAAAATAAATATAATTAAATTGAAATAAAATAAATATAAATAAATATGAATTATAATTAAATATATATATAATTATCTACTTTCTATGTCATTATCAATTTCTATACGATAATCTATATCCTGAATTCTCTATTTTGTAGCAGCAGAGCTCCTTGTGAAAGAGTTTGTCCAGGGTAGTACTGCCACCTTAGTTATTTCTGCTGCCAAGTAGTAATGTCAGCATTTCTGTGTTCCGGTTTTGAAGGGTAAAGGGTAAGGGGGCTGGTGAAATTACAGGCACATAGGGGACTTGTCAACTTGTGTCTCAGGATGACGGGCACAGTGACGATGTCCCTCACATTTTTGAAATTTAAAGCTCTGAGTGGTACTGTAACTGTTGTGAACAGACATGTAGCTTACCACCAGACGCACGACTTGTTCGTTACTTGATGTTATTAAAAAAAATGTATAAACTACACTACGTATACATTTCTATTGCCTTGTGATTTTTTATGTTAGTATTTTTTTTTGTTTGTTTTTTAAGTTAATATAAAAATACGTGTTTTCAATTATTTTTTGTGGTGGTGGACGTTGGAATTTTTTTATTTTGCCTAAATGGACGCTGAGTTAAAAAGTTTGAAAACCTATGGTTTAAGACTTTGGATCGTTCTTATCATAAGCGGAAAACAGTTGAATTTAAATTTTAAATTTCAAGCTCGACATCCTCTTGACCCTCTAACAATCTAAAGCGTCACTTAAATAAATCCAACAATTAGTTTAAAAGCCTTTTACCGTCGAAACCTTTTGCCTGCGCGTAAAATATATTTTGCAGAATGGCTTATCTCCAAATCACCTAATTCATCAAGAAGATGGTTTAAAAACAAACGAGGCTTCGTGTGCCGCTCCATGTTGTCAAATTATTATTTTAACCAATGGAAAGCTGGGGGTTTTGTTTACAATAAAAATCAGGACATTGTGTAATACGCCTAAAATTTTTTTCATGCCATTATTTATAAAAAGCAGTTATACATGGTTATTAATATAAATACTAACAACCTCTACCTATATCCTATAAAACAACAACTTTTGGTGTCATGAATTTTAACAAAACATAGTAAATACGCTGTGGTGAAATTGCAGGCACATGGGACTTGTCAACTTATGTCTCAGGGTGACGGGCGCAGTGGCAGTGCCCCTCAGATCGTTGCGATTAAAAGCTCTGAGTGGCACTGCAATTGTTATGGGAAGGCGTGTAGCTTGCTTCGTTCGTTCCGTCACTTGATATTATAAAAAAAAAAAACAAAAATATAAATAGTTTTTGTTGTACTATTTGATAGTTTTACATCTGTGTATGGTAGTATCTGTGTAAACGCTTTTGCACACTGCACCCGATTCGTATTTCTTCCGACTCCGAATCTATACGAATCGAGAAAACTCGAACCCACTTCTGATGTTGTGCACTATGGTCGATTCAACTCCGAGAAAATAAGAATATATCACACCTGGAGATAAAATTATCACTGTGATATTTGGGACGAGAAATGATTTCTCGAATTCGGATGATACGAACGGATGTAGTGCGCAAATGCTCTAAGGTTGTAAGTACAAAAATGTGCAAGCATCCACCACGACCCCCACCCCGCTCCTGTATTTTGCAGCGTACCGCACAGAGTTATGAATATTTAGATCGATCTATTAAACCATTTTTATTTATGTACGAAAGTGAAATCTGTTGAATTATTGAAAGTTATGGAACAAAAGATTGAAGAATGAAGAAGAAGAAACAAAAGAAGAAAGAAAAGATGTAGATTATGAGGTTACTAGAGTCTGGTCAATGAAAGCTGGCACATGGTATTGTTTCAAAATCTTATTACGGTAAAACTATATATCAGTCAAAAGTGCTTTGACAGTGAGTAATTTTAAAATTTCAGTACACTTAGCACGAGCCCGAAAACAAAAAATCTTGAAGATGATAGCTGATAAGTTCGATAGTCCTTTGATGTGAAAACTTCGTCAAAGGACTAAATCACTATTAAATTATTACTGTCGCGAACCGCAACAGCTACAAATCGTTTTATATTGAATAATTTTAAATAAAATAAAAATAAAAATATTTTATTCTCAGACAACTTACTCCATATTTTGTTAGTACAATAAACTTAAAGTATGTTAGTAGTTTTAGATTATAAATGATATTATTGAGTGCTATCAGAAATAAAATTATCAAAAATTTAATAATTGAAATATTTTTTTAAATTAATAAATAATTGAAATTACTAAAAATCAGGAATAAGAAAAAAACTATAATTTTACACAGTGTTTTTATCACTTTTTTTACATTGAAATTCTAAATTTAAACGTATTTGTTATTGGCGTCTTTTTCTACATTTTCTCACTGTTTTAACCACCTATCTTCTTATCACGAATCTGTCAAAAGTATACAGAATTTGGCTGTTTTGCTATGGTTAGAGATAAGTTCTCTTCTTTTGACATTTGTATGCGCTGCAACTTAAACCTTATAGCGTTTATGCTTGCGCCTGTAGAGACGGTTAAAGATAATTCGTAGTGACGTCATTTTCGAGAGAAAATTGACAGTTCGAAGAAGAGATAGCTTTTGTCTTAGGGCTCATGCTAAGTTTGCTGTTTGTCTGACTGCTTAGTGTTGCAAACACAACATTTTTCAAATTTGCCGCTCTTTTTTGGGCCAGCTTTACTAGTATATCCTGCGAGATTGTTAGTATTTCACAATATGACCCTGTTTATCTAGACAGTAGAAAATGTTTTTCTTGTAGATGGACTATCATATGATCGATACATCTTCGAATATATAATTTAAACTTTAATGTCGTTATACGACAAATCAAAATGGCTTCCAGAACAATAAAACCTTTATGAAATTATTACATTTCGAAACAAAGGATGATTTTAAAAATAAACCTTTCTATGTGTGACTGAAAATAATATTGACGAGATTGAAGCACAACCCTGTGTGAATTTTCTTTAAATGATTTATTTAAATTTATAAGCTCATACAATTATTGTTTTTAGATAAATATCTGTTATGAAAACTTCCATCAAATCATTTTATATTTTCTTATTTCATATTGCGTAACTACTTGCTACATTCTGTATTTTTTGCTATACCTAGTTTCTATTACTGTCTTATGCAACTGTAAAAATATTCATAATATAATATAGTAAACCAGCGCTATAGTCAATTATGGCTGAGGCATAAGCTGAATGAAGTCCTTTTGCGTACGCCACAACCGCATACATGACAGTACAACATTTGCAGTCGTTATATTTAGTTTTTTTTTTGCTTTTTATTTCTTTTGTTTTATGTTATCTTCTGTATGTCTTTTTATTTTATTTTGCTTTTGTCTATGTGCTATCAATATTTTTTTTGTGTCTATATCTTATGGCGTTGCAATATTGATCTATTCTATTATATTCTAACATACATTAACAAAAATTGCATTCTGCATTAACAAAAATTGGATTAGGTTTTTTTGAATTCTTCTACATTTTCTGCCCGTGCTCCACCTAAACGTAGCTACGTCACATGACCATGATATAAATAAAATTATACTTTGCGACCAAATTATATTTTTTTAACCGACTTCAAAGAAAAGGAGGAGGTTCTCAATTCGACCGTGTGGTTTTTTTACATTTATGTTACGCAACAATTCCGGCCATTTGTGAATCGATTTTGATGGTTCTTTTTTTGTCCGAAAAAAGAACCTCAAAAGGACCTCAAATGTGGTCGTGTGAATAATTTAGACAACTTAGCAGGCCAAGTTATGAAAACTTGGCCTGCCAAGTTGTCTAAATTATTCACACGTCTCTATACTTCCAATGAACACTACGCCAACTTTATTTTTTGGTGATTTTCTGTTATTTTCGTAAACCGCCATATTTATTTACTAATATTATGCTCCCCGAATTTTGTAGAAAAAAAGAAACAAAACAAAATTCCAAAAAAAAAAAATGAATTTTCTGAAATAAAACTACAAAACAAAGTGTTCATTAGAGGTACTTAAGCGCACTATAAGTTTCCGGAACTCGCCACTTAAATAAACAATATTTAAAAAGTAATTACAACATTTGAAAATGGAACTCTTTGGCTGTGGAATACAGTTTGTTTCATTTGACTGTCACTTGTTTTTATATTGTGGCGTCATTTTAGAAATTGGATGTCTACATCACCATGGATTTAACTCGTGAAAATTTTCGTAGTATGATTTTCTACGACTTTAAGTGTAATTTAACAGCTCAGTGGAGCTTCGCTCGGCTTCAAACTGCTTTTGGCGATAAAGCACTACGCAAGACGAATATTTATAGCTGGTTTGCAGAATTCAAACGCGGTCGTGTGAATCTCAGTGACGAATTTCGTGATGGTCGCCCGTCCACTGCTGTGAACAACAAAAACATCGATGCTGTGCGCCGTACGATCAAAACAGACAGGCATGTGGTATACTGTGAGATTCGGGCATCTTTAGGCATAGGCATGAGTCAAATACAATCAATACTACACAAACATTTGGGTGTGAAAAAGCTGTGCTCTCGGTGGATCCCACACAATTTGACTGAGGCTCAAAAAACGGATTGCGTCACTTGGTGCAATGCAATGCTTACCAGATTCAACGAAGGGGCGTCAAATTTGGTGTGGAACATAGTAACAGGTGACGAAATATGGATTTATAGTTACGATCCCAAAACAAAGCAGCAATCGAGCGTATTGGTCTTTCGAGATGAGCCGAAACCAACCAAAGTGGTGCGCGTGCAAAGTGCCTCTAAGCGGATGAATGCTTCTTTTTTTAATAAAACTGAACATGTGGCTACTGTTGCTTTGGAGAATCGTTGTACCGTGAATAGGGACTGGTACACGACCATTTGTTTGCCGGAAGTTATTGATAAACTCCGTAAAAATAACCGTAAATGCCATATCATCTTGCACCACGATAGTGAGAACTGGTGTCACACGGCCAGACAGACTAATGAATTTTTGAAGGTCAACAACGTTGAACTTATGAGCCATCCCGCGTACAGTGCCGACCTGGCACCTTGTGACTTTTATTTATTTCCAAAAATTAAGAACCAGTTACGCGGTCAACGATTTTCATCATCTGAAGAGGCTGTCGAAGAGTATGAAAAATATGTTTCAGAGATTGTCACGGAGGAGTGGCATAAATGTTTTCAAAATTGGTTCATTCGTATGAAAAAGTGCATTAACACCAATGGAGAATATTTTGAGAAATAATAAATTCATTTCTGATCATTTATAGTATTTTTTCTTATTCATTCCGGAAACTTATAGTGAGCCCCACGTATCGATCTGCTACAAAATTATCTGTGAAAATTATGCCAAAAAAGGGACTGTCGACTGCTGCATGCGCCCACACCCGTACTCGTCCGTAAAGGAAGCAACTATTTAAAGTATTATTTTATATTTTCCAAAAATAATATTTTAAAAAAACGCGCCTTTCTCTTTCGAGTTTCCCGTCGTTTTTTTACTTAGCAATTGTATTGGAATGACAGCTGTCAAACGCAACATTGAGGTTCCCGCTAGGAGTAATAAAAAAATACTTACAGGATGGAAAAGAAATAATAGTCTAAGAAAAAATACAATTTCTAAGATACCAACATCGTAACATAATATAAAAAACATTACGCGCTTTATTCTTGGGCAGTAATGTGAAAGTGAAAATGACCAATCAATGTTTGAAGAAAATGAAAGTTCAGCGTTTTTTTCCTCAATCTACTGTTTTTTTGGTGCGATAATTAATTTCCGATTTTTTCAGATCTGCCCTGACAACTCTAGTTATCGTAGAGTCACGACCGCGGAAGCTCATGACTAAAGACCACGGGCTGGTTCGAAACATGTTGAGCAAAAATTCGACTCAAATAGTTATCCGGTAGCTCTCAGCTTAGGCGTATTCCAGTTTAACGGAAGATGATTGCTTTATTAAATTTATTTAATTGAAAAGTAGATAGATATTGGCAGTTCTTGCTCACGCGTTAATAATATGTGTAAGGGCAAGAATGTCTTGTGTGCGTTTAAAGGGGCTTTGTGATGAGTACGCCGTTTTTATTCTGAGTTGTTTTTGAATTGGCTGTTATTGGTCAGTTGTTGGGTACCTATCTACTTTGAAATGTGTAAAGAACGAGAAAATTATTAAATTAAGTTTATTTGATCATTTACTTGCTCATCCGATAATCTAAACTATCACTGCGGAATTCGGAATATTAACTTTATTTCTAAATTGTTAAAGTAAATTTTTAAAAGCATTTTAGAATTTATGAGAGGAAACATTTATATACTACGACACCATAACATCACAGATAATTTGGAAGCTTTTTAATTGTCAATTGTAGTACAATACCTTTACTATGTTTCCATCGGGTGGCGTGAAAACTGGATTGAGCTCCTGCGGCATTAGGGCCTGGAGCTCTTTTGGCACAATTAGACCATTCTAAAAAAAAGAATATACCTAGTCAGGGATCATTTCGTGTTATCATCGTCATTGTGTCTGGACATAGGCTTTTCCCAAAAATTGTCACTACGTCCGATTGCTTTTGAGAAAGGCTCACGTCAACATATTTTGTTTTTATTATTATACAATACTTATGGACATAGTGGTACCCGCCCCAACCGACTAAATAAAAAACAACACATTATGACAATCCTGGGGTTTATAGCATCTGAACCTGTGGTCGGTTTAAAGTTGCAACGGAATCCGAATGAGCCCTAATGCGAGTATCGTGTGATACCGGGACCGGTTGTTTGTCAAAAACAATTAAATATGATTCGCATCCAGTCCCGCATTTAGTTGCAGCTCGAGAAATGACATTAAATGTGTATCGTCTGAACCTGAATTCATTTTCGATAGATGTTGGTACATTTTGTTGCTTTATGGGGTGATGAGCTTGTTTCCGAATACTCGCATTTGGGCTCATTCGGGTTCCGTTGCAACTCGAAACCGACCTCGGGTTCAGATGCTACAAATCCCAACCCTGTGTATGTTCTTTACAATGTGTTATTATAATAGCATAACCACTTATGGTGGAGTTACACTTTATTCCATACAAACGCTTGTATGTGCACGCCCGCCTCGCGCTTAAATAACGCACAAATAGGGAGAGCGCGCTTTCGAGTACTTAAGGGCTATATGACGTTACACTTAGTCCTTCTCACAACTATAGTATAATAAGACAAGTGTGGTAAAAACCGGCCAATGTGTTTATTATTATAAACTTAAAATCAAGGTCTAACGGAATGTAATAAGTACCTTATTAGGAATGAAAGCTGTGTTGAGCTCTTGGGGCATGAGTGCCACTTGGAGATCTGCGTCGTTTGGTATCTTCTCATTAGTCTATGAAAATACCAATCACGATATTATAAAAATCAGACTATCGTCGACCTAAAGGGCAGTCGATTATGTGGTAAGCGATCAAATGAATTTCGATTCATTGACATTTAATGCTATCTTATCTACATGGCCGCGGGGGTCACTTTAGATATAAATTTGTTCATTAATGTGAATTGAGCCGATCTCAATAGAGATGCCTCGAGCTCGCGATCACACGTTGTCCTCCACGGCCTAAAGTAAATATTAAGGTGTCGGTCAAAGGAATGGGCGTTACAAATCGTATATAGTTATTGAAACTGTATATTACGGCAATATCGAATATCCGATATCGTGTGTCTTAGAAACTATACATCGATATATACCGCATCGCATATTTTATAGCGATGCCGCATCAAGCCGAGCGATTACCGAGTGGATACCAACACGAAATCATATATTTTCCAAACTATATACCGATATTGCTTCGTATCAGATATTCACTGAGTGGATATCAACGCAAAACCATTTTTTGTGCGTCTTCGAAACTGTATACTAACATTGGCCCGCATTGCTCTTGTAAAACTGTATCCAATAATATATAGTAGCGAAATCTGATTCCGAATATCAGTAACGGCAATGTATCAACGCAGCGCGCGCGGGCTATACCTATCCACGAATATATAGTTCCAGAAAATATATAATTACGAAATGCGATTTCGAATATTGATATGTATATAGTTTCGATACGACATTTAGAAAAAGCTATATTACCCATTCTTAGTCGGTCATATGTTGTCTCTTTGGAAAAACAACGTGTTGAAACATGATCCAGTTTTCTGTAGATTAAGAATTAATTTTCTAGTTTGATATATGTGTATACATATACCAAACTATAAAATTAATATTATGGTGAAGAACATAGTTGTGTGTTGTGGTTATCTCGATTATTCCTACAAATAGCACCATCTAGCTTTTGGCGTAGTATCTAACTAATTAAATAAACTTACTTGCAACGTTAGTAAATTGTCGTCGCTTGCCTAAAACCAAAGATAATACATATAAGAATGTTTATTAATGAATAATTTCATGCGATTTGAAATAGCTACATACATGGTTGTCTGCAACGATATCTACGCTGTCGTTCTCAGGGTGTTCAACAATCATTGAAGCCAATGTGGTCTAGAATAGAAAGCGCGTTAAGGCAAACGTAGTGTAGGAAGTTCCGCATGCTTCATTTTAGTCGATGCGTCTGTAACGTGATCGTGTCCAACCTAGCAATCTTAACACACGTCACCAACATGCCTCAAGAGAACCGTACAACAAATCTAGTGGGAATAATCGCATGCATCACGAGATCTCATTGAATGTGGTGGTTGTATTCGGCGGCGCGAGTGCGACAATGAAGCGGATTTGTATAACGGAGTTTGTTTTGCAAAAAATAAAATAACGTTTTTATATATAATATAATAGACACACGCTTGGCCATAATCTCACCTGATGTTAAGCGACGATGTGACCGACGATGGGATGCGTTTGCCTAAAAAGGCTTATTCACTCTAGCCTTTTCGGGAAATACAGAGCATAGAGCATTCCATTCCTTTGCCGTACGCATCAGAAAGGAGAAAGCAAAGCGCTTAGTGCAAATAAGTGGAATATCAACGACATAAGAATGGAGTGCTCTGGACCTTCTAGTCGACCGAAGGAGGAACAGTGAGGGCAGAACCAAATTGAAAAGTTCCTGCGCACACTCTTCGAAATGTATCCGATAGAAAACCGACAAACAGGCTACGTTTCTGCGATGGTCGAGATTTTGAAGCTTCGACTCCACAATAGAATTATTGTTAATAAGTCTCTTTGCTTTTCGCTCCACCAGCCTCCAGCCTCCAGCCGTCCCAAAGGTGGCAGCAGTACTCCATACAGGATCTACTTGTGCTTTATACAGATTTAAAAGCTATTCAGGTGTGAAGTACCGCCTGACCTTGTAAAATATGCCTAGTTTTCTGGCAGCATTTTTATACCAAGCACTCGATGTATCGCCCAAAGTTGAGTATAGCGCAGAGTAGCTCAAGGTGATCCCTTATCGGCACGGATACATCTCGGAAAGTCGGAGTAAGGTGTAGGGGACTCCGTTTTGATGTGAAAAGACACGCCTGTGTTTTAGCCGCATTCAAACTGACCCTGTTAGCATCTCCCCAGTCGGAAGCAGCTTTCAGGCTAAGGTTCAACCGGGTGACCATCACCTTTCGCTTACACCGGATCTCTTCGCTGTTGTCTCGGGTGTCTGGCACATAACTCTCTACCACTGTGCTGTCGTCTGCGTACCCAAAGATACCGGGCATCAGCAGAGTAGAGTGGTGGAGAGGACAGATCCCTGAAGTACACCAATACCATGAGGAGCAGACGAGTAACCATCTACAACTACACGGATTTACCTATCCTTTAGAAAATCGCCTAGCCATGTGCAAAAGCCAACAGGAATTCCGTATGCTGGAAGCTTGTTTAACAGGCTATCATGCCAAACCCTAACAAAGGCGATAATTCATAAACTAAACCACACATGATTCGACACAACAGTAAGTGCTATAGGTTTTCTAGCGAAAATCGAACAAAGGACATCCTGTGCTGAAGGCAAGAGTAATTAACCGACTATTTATTGCATCAATTATTAAACTAACACTAAGAATAAACTCATTTCGATCCGGTTGGATTCGATCTAACGTCTCCCAGCAAACAAAGCAAAAAAAGACACTATGCCAACTAAGCCATGGAACAAACAAAAGGACCTCACGAATTTTTCTATATATATGTTGCAGATCTTATAGTATCAAGTTCTTCGGTTTTCCCATACATTGGCATTCTGCCTTACGAATGAGCAGTAGAGTTTATTGAATATGACGATTTCAAGTATAATTTGCTTGCCTATGAAATAAAGATGATTTGAGGTTTGGATTTGGAAATTATTTTTAACCGACTGTTTAGCGCTCTCCGTGAGTTAGTTAAATTAAGTGGTAATACTTGTAAAAGTTTAAATTATTTAGTATGTACAATTGTGTTGTGTTTTGTTAACGAATCTTACGTTAGTTCCAAAATTCTAGTCTTTTTATTTCCACCGGGTACACTGGCGCTACGGTGAAAAAAGTCGTTTAAATCTAATAATAAGAGCTGCAACAGTTCATTTGACCCCGGTTTGGTAAACAGACGCTGGTTTAAAGGAATTTTGCTTTGAGTTTGTTCGATTCTTGCATTGATAACAATATTATTGTTTCATTCATAACCTTGGTCACCCTACGTTGTAATCTGTAAGTTAGTTTGCATAGCTTCCGGCACGGTTGGTTTTCTAGAAGACGTCGGTTCTAACCCGGTCGGATCTAAGGAATTTTGTTAGTGTTCGATCTCTCTTATTAATAGTAATTATAAATCGTGTATTTTTTTTAAACAGACCGACGTTTCGGATCCTTTACAGGGCGCAATTGTCACGGTAGAAACGTACATTTGGTAGATAAAACAAATTTAAGCGATTTTGACCGATCAAATAGTTTTTTGTTATTTACAGTTTTTTATCGCTCACATTTCTCTTTCGCACAATATTGGACTTAATGCTGCACCTTGGGGTAGCCCTATGTCCTGGATGATGACAATGATTTAGAGAGTCTCTTTTTAGTACTTACATTTTGATGACCACTAACGGCGATAACTAGTATAAATGAATAAGATAAACAAATAATTTTTATCATTTTTATTTGATTTAAAAAAAATATAAATATTATTAACAACCGTGCAAAATAAATATTGCTTTCGTAGAAATTTATAAAATTATAAAACGCACGAGTGTTATAGTTACATTTTATTTTATTAAAATTTAAAACAATAAAATAAGTTTATTCCTATAAAAAAACAAGTGTCGTTTTATTGTTTTCTGATAAGCTTCACGTTACACACACAAATCTGGTACGAACAAAATGCTTTGCAAAATGAAAACTTTTGTAATATTGTCTATTTTAATTTATAATGTTTTTGGACACTTTAATGGAATCGTAAGTATCATTTTTGCAGTTCAAGCTATGGAATAACAGTGATAATTCAGAAGCTCCTTGTGAAAGAGTTCGTCCAGGGAAGTACTGCCACCTCACCTACTTCTGCGGCCATGCAGTAACGTGAGCATAACCGCGTTCCAGTTTTGAAGAGGAAGTGCATTTGCGCACTGCAACTCCGAAACGAATAATCCGAAACTATACAAATCCAAAACTCGGACCCATTTCGGATGTCGCTTATGCACTAAGTCCGATTCGAATACGAAAAAATAGGAACATCGCTTGTACACCTAGAGATAAAATGACATTTCGGATAACTGTGACATTTCGGACCGCCATTTTTCGGATTCGGAATTGACACGAATCGGATATAGTGCGCAAAAGCTCTTGGTGCTAGTGTAATTACAGGCACATGAGACTTGTGAACTTATGTCTCTGGGTGAGGGGTGTAGTGGCAGTGCCTATCGAATTTTTGCAATTTAAAGCTCTGAGTGGCACTGCCACTGCTGTGGACACACGTGTCGCTTACCACTAGGTGCACGATTTGGTATCATAAAAAAATATTACTCTTTTGAGAAATCTATGAAAGTATTTCGTCACCCAGTTAGGTACCTTTACAGCTACCAGCCCCATCTAGAGATGTCGCTATTAACTGTAAGTAAATTTTTATTTATTTACACGAAATACTTTCATAGATGGCGCTATGGCTAAAAAGTCGTTGAAAATAAAATACAAAGATCCAACAACAAGCACATAGAAAAATCCGTGAGATCCGCTGGTTCGTTTCGTGGCTTAGTACAGCATAGCGTCTGCCACGGTTTGGTAGGAGACGTCGATTCAAATTCGGCCGGATCGAAGGAATTTTTTCTAAGTGTTCGTTCTTTGTATGAATAATTATAACATAGATTCTCATAGATGGCGCTACGACTAAAAAGTCGTCGAAAAACCAAGTACAAAGACACGACGCAAGCACATAGAAGAATTCGTGAGGTCCGTTGGTTCGTTCCGTGGCTTAGTTGGTATAGCGTCTGACACGGTATGCAAGAAGACGTCGTCGGTTCGAATCCGACAGGATCGAAAGAATTTTTTCTGAGTGTTCGATCTTTGTATTAATAATTATAACAAACTAGTGGAGTAATTTCACAAAATACAATTGAATATCAATTCAATAAAAATTTAATTAATTATAACAAACTAGTGGAATGATTTCACAACAAATATGTGAATATCATGGTGGTGAAACATTTTGACATTCTATAACTCTTTCCTTCAACAGTCATCGCTAATCCGACATAAAAGAAACGCAGTAGGTGCTTTGGAGATTGTGCACAATAATGCACAGCCGATTCACGCTGAGGTCAAACCCGAAACCCGGGTAGCACCTGCGGCAATTGAAGCTTCCACTGTGAAGAAAAGTAATGATCCGGGACCGAACTCTGGCCTTCCAATTACGGATAAGGTACAGTAGTAGATTATTATAAGAAAAGAAACAAAAAAAAAATATGTTAAAAATAATGGTGCTGGCAAAATTGTGTATTCTAGCACTACACGATGAGACACGACAATGATAATGACGCGGAAAGGAACCTTAGTCTTTTGGTAATAGGGAATAAGACAGGCGACGCCAATTATAATAAATATAATTTCTAATTGGCGAAACCAACGAAACTGAATGAATGAAATATTGTTTATTGTAAATTAAAAAGTTACAATGACAACACAAATAATGTAAGTATCACAGAATAAGCTACTGTGCAAAAGGCGGCCTTAACACTAAGTAACAACTACCTCCCGGCAACCTAAGAGTTGGAAAAGACGGTGCAACCAAAGGATGTCTTCTTAGAAATTGGTACCTACAGTATTAAAGTTTGCACCTATATTATTTATAACATTCTCGCCATTGTCCTACGTTCTCGTCAAACATTTAGCCTCATTACCATGCGATTATCGGTTTCCTGACGTCTAATATGATAACCCTTATATATAAATAAAAAATAAAAAAAATAAAAATAATGCTAGCCCCGCAGCACCTGATGAAGACGACAAATACACGGGAGACACAAAACAGGTAGTGTTTATTTGAAAATTGCAGAGATTCTTTGACAAGTTTTTTTTTAATTTTCATCCTTTTGTTTGGGTAGGCAAAGGTTTTACCGTACAGCCTCTTCATAAAAATTCTATTTTTTATTGATTTCATGGCAAAGGCGACCAGCGCCTGTTCTGTAGTTTAATTCTTTCAGTTTATTTCATAAGTCATGAAGGGTAGATGTTTATTATTATGTGAAGTTTACCATCAGGCGCACGACTTGTTCGTCCCGTAACTTGATAAAATAAAATAAAAAAACATACTCCAAAAAGTTTTTAATGTGTAAGTAAAGGAAAAGAGAAATAATTAATGATTGGACAGTATGGTGTTTAAATTCCTTCTGCTGCTGCAAATGTCAACAAAAACAAAATGACAGCGTCTTCAAAAGATCTCTGTATACCCTAGACTATGGAAAGTTTTCCGTCCTCTAAGCTGTATACTGTAGAATTTATTATTATTATCTAAGAAACTAACTTTCAGTTAGGTAACATGTTAAATAGTCTAACTAGTACATAGTTGTTCTATAAGTACCCATATTATCCATAAGGGTTATAAAACCCTTCCTACCTCATTTCCATTTAAAGCCACTTAGCCCTTTTGAAGTACAGCAAAAGTGACAAGGTTTGAATTTTACAGCCTTGCCCGGAACCAATTAAGCCTTCCCGTATCGAACCGGGCGTAGTTTTTAAGGTTAGACTAACACCAAATATTTGTTTAAACCTAATTAAATGTCGTTAATGTAGTGACTGGACCAACCTAGCATGGTTTGAGGGATGAGGAGGGAAAACATTCTAGACTCTTCCAAGTTTTACGAGCAGGTCAAATAGGTCAAAAGGAGATCTAAAATTGAGCATATTTGTTTCTTCAAACAAACCGACTTTTCGGGGTCTTTATGGGGCCCATGGTCACGGCTAACTGAGATGGTAGATATGGTATAACATTCGTGCAAATCCTTATTTTATTGCCAAAAATCATATTCCAATCTAGGCTACATTAAGTTTTTAAATTAATACTATTTCATGACCAATACTATCTCAGCCTATATAATAGTCCAATGCTATATAGCGGATTTTAGTGGTACTACGTGATGAGCATTACAGCTTTGGGCTGTTCATTGAATAACAAAAATATTTATCGAGTTCTTACGTTTTGTGACTCCTGCAAATTGGAAATGAACTCAACCGAGTCAATCGTGACCGTGAGACATTTAAGGAGCCCGAAACCATAGTATTATATGACAAGTATGGTAACTTCATACATACCCCGCCGCGTGCTGTGCGCGGTCGCACATATTCGTATAATTTCGCGATGCATTTGCATTGCATAGCGTTGATCTACCCACGCGCCTTTCATTATTATGTAAATGTGTGTGTCTGTACACGGCGCGAGGCAGGAGTGCATATATTTAAACCGCGCTGCTGCTTTGTATAGAGTTACCATACTTGTTTTATTATACTATGCCGAAAGTTCGTTTGTTTGAAATCGAAATATGCGGTTTAGATCCCAAAAAATAGTTTCAGTACGTATCGCAATAGCGAAAACCTGAGAACTCGATATACATCCTACATTATCAGCAAGTTCGTGATTGCCGCACGATATTTTTTCTTTCTTATGGTTTGTCATTTCAGTGATTGTTCCAATAAAGTTTGAGTAGCAGTAGAGCTCGTTGTGAACGAGTTCGTCCAAGAAAGTACTGCTATCTTACCTATTTCTGCCGCCAAGCAGTAATGCTCACTTTACTGCGATCCGGTTTGGAAGAGTAAGGGTGCTGGTGAAATTACAGGCACATGTGACTTGTCAACTTACGTCTTCTTTAAAGCTCTGAATGGCACTGAAACTGCTATACACAGACATGTCGCTTACCACCAGGCGCACGACTAGTTCGTCTCGTCACTTAGTGTCATAAAAAAATTAAAAAATGAAATTTTCTTACAGGTAACACCACCTGAACACGTGGTATACGACAATAAGCCACTTCGCAGATCGTCGCCTCTAATAAGCAAGCTCGAATTAATTCGAAACGTGACAAGGACGATTACTTTACTTGTGCTGATTCTCTCCGCTGTGGTAGAATTCTTTCCGTTGCTTCAACAATTGTATTTCTTGTATTACTTATGAGTATAATAAATAGTTTTACAAGGTGTTTCGTTTAGTGTAATTAACACACTAATTGTAATATTAGACATTTATTTCTCCGAACAGATTTCAAACACAAAATTATTTTATATGCGAAAGTAACACTGTCTGTTACGTTTTCACGCTTAAACCGTTGAACCATTTTGATGAATTGTGGTATAGAGATAGATGACATCTGAGATATACTTAGAGATACTTTGTGTCATAAAAATAAATCTTAAAGGGGATGCAAATTTGCATTAGGCCCTATAGTTCATTTCACACAGTATGATTCTGGTGGCGTTCGAGATTTCAAGTTTCTAGATATGTAGTGATGTAATGAGTGAAATAATGACGATTTTTTTTTCATTTTGTTGAAATAAATCGATTTAAATATCTTTTCGAGATAATTTGTACCGAAGAGAGAATCGATTTACAGGAAATAATTCAGGAACAAAACAGAAAGGATCCAAATATAATGTTGTTAATTTACCAAGAAAACTACACAACAAATAAAAATCAACAACAACCAAATAAAAAGTGCACAACAAACCATAAAATCAACTGCAACGAAACGAAATTTGAACAATTACTCCAAAAACATCACGCAAAACTCAAAACAAAAGAAAACGACACGCTTACAAGGCGTAGGCCCTCGTACAGACGCGAGATACAAAATAGTCGATTCAATTGATCGATCGTGTGGTATAAATCTCTATGGATATAATAATCCGTTTTACGCATTAAGTAATCGGGGCAATTTTTTCTATATAATATATTAATTTTTATTTAAAATTATGTTAACAAATAAATGTCACAGGACTCATCTTAAGTGAAATGGACTAGAGAGCTCCTTGTGAAAGAGTTGTTAGGGAGGCACTGCCACCTTACCTATTCCTGCTACCAAGCGTACTGTCAACATTACTGCGTTCCAGTTTTGAAGGGTAAGGGTGTTGGTGAAATTACAGGCACATGAGACTTATCAACTTATGTATCAGAGCGACGGGTGCAATGGCAGTGACACTCGGATGTTTGCGATTTAAACTTCGAGTGACACTGCAAGTGCGTGTCTACCACCAATAGCACGACTTGTTCGTCCCGTCGCAGGGGTATCAAAAAAAGTATCTTTTAAAACTACCGTAATTAATCAAGGAATTATTTTATTTCCTTTAAATATATCATCTTCTAGTGAATTATATCAAAATCTTCCCCCGGCTGAACATTCTTATAATGAACTTCCTATTTTAAGAAATTTCTAATATGGGAGACTATATAAATGGATTTAAACCCCGTTTATAAAGGATTATCTTTTTTTTTAAATGGCAACTTGATCTAATCTTAATTTTCAAAATGGAGCTTCTCCTTTAATAGAACAATTTTTTTTCATGTTCTGTTATGTTTTTTTCACGCTAATTATTTTAATTATAATTACTATTTTAGTAGGATATTTAATATTAAATTTATTTTTTAATAAACATATTAATCGATTTTTATTAGAAAATCAAATAATTGAATTAATTTGAACTATTTTACTAGCAATTACTTTAATTTTTATTGCTTTTCCATCTTTACGACTTCTTTATTTATTAGACGAATTAAATAATACATTAATTACTTTAAAAACAATTAGACATCAGTGATATTGAAGCTAAGAATATTCGGATTTTAATAATATTGAATTTGACTCTTATATAACTCCTTCTAATGAAATGTCTTCAAATAATTTTCGTTTATTAGATGTAGCTAATCGAATTATTGTACCTTTATATAACCAAATTCGAGTTTTAATTACAGCAACAGACGTCATTCATCCTTGAACTATTCCTTCCTTAGGAGTAAAATTAGATGCTAATCACGGTTTAATTTAGTGAAGAAGAAACGTGTATGTAAATAGGCATCTACCATGATTAGACACGATTGGCTGGACGCATTGCGGGAAACGACTGACAGGAGCAGCGGTCCGGGGCGTCGCGAGCAGTCGCTGTTTCTGCATTTAATGGCTTTTAAACACCTTGTTTAGGGTTATTGAGCGTTAAGTAACTAAAGCTATTGCTTATTAACTAATCTAGCACCTAATCCACCGTCTCCAATCTTCCATAGATCTGATGTTCACGCTTTGTCATAATTTTTTTTAGACGGTGTACAATCATACATAAATAATATGACGTCTTTGGTGACCCAAAAGTTTGAACGTTGGAGGAGGTTCCTTCCGGGTCCGTTTTCCCGTAAGCGCGTTTTGCGCACTGTATCCAATTCGTATTCGGTCCGAATTCTTCACTATACAAATCTAGAATACTCGGACCCTTTTCGGATGTCGCTTGTGCACTAAGTCCGATTCGAAGCCTAGAAAATACGAATATCGTTTGTACACCTAGAGATAAAATGATCCCTGTGACATTTCGGACCGTCATTTCTCGGAAACGGCAGATTCGAATGGGACGTACTGCGCAAATGGTCTAAGACTAATTTGGGAAATGAGCTTTCGAAATCTGGTTTGGGTGTTCTAAAAGTGTCCCAGGGTAAATTACGTTCCTCTTTTAATTTATTTTTTATTCTGATGTTCATTGTACACAAGATCTTAATTTAAAACCAGGTAATACATGTGGTTGTATATCACATTATGTTAACCCGTTCCTGGAAGGTAACGACTTTTACCGAAAAATAAACATGGTAATTCGGGGTACCCAGAATTGATCACTTTAACGGGTAAAGTCTCTCCATGGATAAGTAAGTATCAACAACGTACTGACAAAATTCAATGAGTTACACATACACACATTTGTATACGTTACGTTTTAAAAAGCACTGTAACAACGTGTTTGTATGAGGTGATACAAATATATGTCCGTGTCATTGAAGTTACTAACAGCAAAAGTAAGTTTTAAACAAAATTTAAAACTATTTTTTTTTCTTTAAAACGTACCTATATGGATTTAGTAGTAATTCAGTATGACACAACAGCAATCGTCTAACTACTTCCATAGCCGTACTTTCTTTTATATAATTTTTATATTTTATATATCTTTTATATATTTTTAATTATAGAATGTTGAAGGGGTCAGTCGTGATTCGGTCATTCTCGGATTAGTGTTAATTTTCGTGGCAATTTTTATTATTTAAATATTGGAGTATCCTATCGTGTAATTATTAAATAATATTTCACAATACAATACTCGAATATTAAATAATATTGCACGATAAAAAAATCGAATACAAATTACCAAGGAAATTAGGTAGTGAACACTACTTCGAGAATGATCGAATTATTACACAAAGAAAAGTAGTGACATTTTTGTGTGGGTTCGTATTTAAATACCGTTCATAAACGGGTTAATAATATATACAATGTATTAATAAAACTATAAATGAATAATAAATTTAAACAAATCACATACGTTCCTCTGATCCCAAAGTAGCTAAAGCACCTGTGTTATGGAAATCGGAAACAACGACGATACCACAAACACCCAGACTCGAGACAGTATAGAAAAGTTAGTTTTTCTACACTGACCCGACCGGGGATCGAATCTAGGACCTTAGACATGGCGACACAATGAAAACCGATGTGCAAGCCACTCGACGACGGATATCGTCATAACATGATAAAACTGAAACTGTTATATAATAACTATTAGTTTTCTATTGCTATTACATTTGAGTTATGTACATGGGCATTTAATTATTACAATTTATTATATGTAATAAAATTGAAATGCGCGAGTCGCCGAGATACGCACGGGAGGCGATTGTGATGGATCCAGAATTGAATGCCGAACGCCACTGTGTTATCGTCAAATCCTCTACGTAACACAGTTTTCTATACACATTGAGACCGTAAATAATCAATTTTACATATTTATAGAACATTTTATAAACATTGACCTATAACATATTAAGTTTCAACATTGACATATTGGCAATGAGTACGTACTCATGTTTCTTCAAGTTTGATGAAAATTTAAATTAATTATGGAATTAACAAAATTTATGGCTGTGTGTTCGGTTTTTATGTTTTGTTGCGATTTTGTTTATGGAACAAAGCAGGTACGTGTTAATTTTGTGGTAAATGCTTATTGATCATACTCGCACACTTGATTGACGTCTGAGTTCAAATATTTAACTAATTTTGTCGGTAGTGGATCATTTATTGATCTTTGACGTGATAATTTGTGTGTATTTTTTATAACAATTGAAGATGCTTTCACTACTTTATTGCACAAATGAATAAAATTATAGGTCTTTATTAATTGTGCTGTTTATTAGATAATTTCGAGTTTACATTCTTTTAATTTCAAATGTGGTGCATTTACATAATGTAAATAGGTAGGTATTTATCTAAAGGCGTAATTATAATCACAGAAACAGGACAAAGCATTTATTGCACTACAAAAAAAAAAAAAGAAAAAAATACGCTCAAAGTAACAAGGTAAACCCAAAAACATTGGAACACCTTTTAAATACTCTGTTAAAACTGCTAAAGTTCAGCCACGTAATTTTAAATAAATAAATTTCTTTTTTTTAAATAGCGAGGATATATTATAAATGTTGACGGTAAAATGAAGTTGGAGAACTTAATTCTATTTAGCCTTAAATAAGGGCATGCAAATATACATATAACACATTAAGAAACTGAATGAACTAAAATATGAAATATTATAATTTATAAATCAATATTATGCATCGCCTAAAGTAATAATTAAGCTGCTACCTTTCAGCATCACCCACCCTTTATTAGGGAGCAGATAATATATTTAGCTAGCAACATGCCCACCGGGCTGCAGTTGTAAAAATACTCGTGAAAATATTATCTTGTATTTACTCCGGTTGACCTTATACTTATTTTAATAGGAACTGGAACCAGTCATTCGTAGTCGTCGGGGTCATGAGCCAACCAATGCGCCAATGAAAGTAACGACTCCACTACCAGTCACTAATGTTAATCAACAAGATCCCATAGCTCTAACCAACAATCTTAACATCAAAGTGAATAAGATAGAACCACT